CATCGTTACTGTCCGCAGAAACTTCTACAGTCGCCACAAACGCTACATCCGCATGAACGGAGCGTACTCTAAGGAATTGGCCAGGACCAACGGTCACCTCCAGGGAAGCTCTTGGTCCCTGGACGACATTAAGCTGCTCATGTGTGTGTGGACCAAGAGACAGCATCGATACGTTCCGCGATCACTCAGCACTACCTTTGTTGACGACAGCAACTCCACTACTCACACCGCGCCTGAGTTGCAGAAATCTCTTGATGAAACCGCCAAGTTTGATCGATTTTCAGGTCAACGCATTCACCCTGGCAAAGTGGCGGGGTGGGCGCTCACCGACGAGCTTCACGCCGCCGTTACCCAGCTCACTCTGGCGGAACGGCCCTTACGCGTGGTCGACTCCTTCAAGCTCGTCGGGAGTTACATCAACGCCGAGGCAGCGCCGGCTCCAGCCGCGCTTAACCTCACGGCCACCGCTGACGCCCGTGTTCGGAGGGCGACTAGTCGCCTGCCGCGCATTGGCAAGCTCCCATCGCCGATGCTAATTAAGGCGCGGCACGCCCGTTCCCTTGCTGCCAGCGTCTGTACCACGGGCACCGACATTCAAGCCCCATCAGGCCCCGTCAAAACTGCCTACAACATGCCCTTAAGGCGGCTATCCGCCCCAAGGGAAACAAGTGGGTCGAGTTTTGGACTCTCATGGCCGTGTGCGTCCCAGGACACGCCCTGGAGATTGACGCCATCACGCAGCGTGAAGTTTTCCTGTGTCTTCGGCGACAGGTTAATCGCGACGCTACACTCTGCGGTCTCGTCAGGGATCTCCAACACCACGTTCAGACCCTGTTTGGGGGAGGACCTGTCGGACGACTTGTCCAGACGCTCCAGCAGCTCCGTTGGACCTGGCCCACATTTGGCATCATGTACGACGACTGGGGCTGCCAGATCATTTGGCTGAACTTACCCCAAAACGCCTTCCTTCTCATGCTGCGGGCCTCACAACGCAGAGCCTTTCTGAGGAGGATCAAGCCACGGCGTCACGACCTTGGATACCTTGCCTCTGTCAGACAGGGCCTCGACCTCTTCGCTAGCACGTGGCTCGCCCGAACGAAAGGAGCAGCCAAATGCAATGCCTGGCAGCTGGCGCTCCTCCTGAACTACCTGTCGGGCGGGGACCACACCCAACAGCGACGATCCCGATCAAACACGTCTGCTGACCCCAGCACCATCTGCCGATACTGCGACGAGGAAGAGGAAACTCAGGAGCACACTGTCCGCGACTGCAAGTGCTGGGCCCGTGAAAGAGTCCCTCTCACCACCCTCATCAGTGACGAGCAGTGGGCCCGTCTTCCGCCGCACACAAGACACTGCGGGCTCTTCGATGAAGACCCAGCCCTCCTCGACCTGCAGGCCGACCTCGCGAGGGACCCGCTACCGCAGCCCATGCCGCGGCCCCCACCTGAGGGAGATCCTGCGGCTTCAGCCCAGGACTCCTACACCACCTACCTTGACCCCGACACTGGTTGGACATGGGTCTACGCTGCCACGGACGGTGCATGCACCAACCAAGCCATCCCATTGCTAGCACGAGCGGGCTACGGCGTCTACTACGGCATCGACACCGCATGAACTACAGTGCACGCGTTCACGGCATTACGCAGAACGCACAGCTTGCGGAGACCCTCGCCATTGTCCACCTCACGGCATGTGCTGAACGGCCCGTACACGTTTTCGTGGACAACCAGGCGGTGGTCGATGGGGTCCAAAGTATCATCGACGGACACTCACCACCGCAGGGCACGCACGTGGAGCTCTGGGAAAAGATCCACCGATGCGTCATGGCCAAGCCCAACATGTTCCGCGTCGAGAAAATCGCAAGCCACCTGGGAGACATGGGCATCGACCTCGGGCTCATCGGGCCCATCGCGGAGGATTTCAATCGTCAGGCTGACGCCCTCGCCACAACGGCGGCACGTACTCATAACCTTCCAGACGACACTGTCGAAGCTGCCAAAACACGACATCGCCAAGCGACCGTGCTTCATGGAGTCGCTGTCGCCATCTACGAGCGTAGACACCGCACGCTCCCCCTCCCACACCGCAGGGCTGGGTTTACAGCTGCGGAACTCAACAAAATGGAACCAAACCCCCTGCTGTCTGACCAGGCACCACCCGCGGCTGGACCAGACATCCCACAGAACCCGGACGAGCTCTGGACCGAGGCCCAACGGGCGATATTCGACGAACAGGAGGACGACCCGTTCGGCTTTGGCGGGGGCCTTGACTTCCTAGGCGACGGGCCAGCCAGCGCCAACCTTGCCCCGTCGGGCACCCGCACGTCGCCCTCGACTCCGCCACTGAGATCGGCATCGCACCCACATGACAACGCCGCTCACCTTCAAGACGCTGACGAACAGGAGGACGACCTGTTCAGCTTCGGTGGGGGATCGGACGCTTTGGACGACGGACAAGTCAGCGAAAACCCTGCCCCGTCGGGCAACCTCTCGACGCCTACCGCGACTCCGTCCCCGAGAGCGACATCGCCCCCATACGATGATATCGGCCACCGCCAAGACGCCGACGACGACCTGGGTGACCCCCGCGGACTGAGTGGCATAGACGACGCACCGCCGACACCCCACGCTGCCGACCATGCCGCTCTACCGAGACGCCACCCTTCTACGCGGCCGACCTCAGAGCCCTCGCACGGCATCATGATTGGTCCCACCGCGCAAACCACTCCGCCCCCTCACCAGCGGCAGCCCGCGGGGGCGGCTTCAGCCCCCCCGCAGGGCACTGAACCAGACAGGCCCTCGCGCCCCGTCCACGCTTCCATCGTTGCTGAGCGAGAGGATGCGGCTCTCCCGACCTCTCGGGGCGTGGCCCTAGCGGCTCCAGCCCTGGGGTCGCGTGTTCCCCTCCAGTCACCTTTCAAGGGTGACGGACGACAGCGTACAGGGTGCCGCACTACGCTAGTCCACCATCTGGACAGGCGTACCGAGGACCTCGCCTCTGTCTCGAGGCCCTCGGCCGCTGGCACTGAGCAGCCACCCCTCACCGACCGCGAAACCGAGCTGTCCCAGGCTATGGCTGCTCTCCAGCAGAGGTGCGTTGCTCTCGCCGCGGACCTCGCCGCCGCCCAAGCTCGCCAAGGCCCTCTACTCCAGCGCCTCCACAGCGCCGGGCGAGCCTTCGCCGAGCTGCTCACGCCCTCGCCCGATGGTGCCGTGCCGTCACTCACCATCCAAGCTATGCTGTCATCGTTCCGCGGCGCTCACCTGGTGCCCCGCGCTAATCTCCTCCTCTCTGCCTGCCCGTGTGTACGCGTGGCTCCGCGTCCACGGTGTCAGGGCGTGGGGGCGGGGGGTGCCCCGTCACTGCGCGCCGCTTTGCGGCCAAGCGCCCAACTGGCGGTCTGCCAAGCCGCCTAGCCACGTGTCAGCACGTCGCCTTTCTTGTTGGGGCCTCTTTCTTTACGCGGTCTGACAGGTGAGATCATCACCGTCTGTCCGCCGTC